CTATGGTGCTGACTCATTTTTCTACATAGTTACAAAATTTTTTTTAACTTGTTTGAAACTCAGTAGAGATTTATAAAGAAATGTTTATCATAATGAATGTGTATTTTCATACCAAACAGTGTTAAGATGCATTGGAGACTAGCAGAGCTTTTTTTATTCAATTGTATGTTTGATATATTAAAAAATTTCAATAAATGTTGAAATAAATTCACAGTCACTTGGTTTTTGAAAAATATTTATAGTTTTATGTTTTAAATTTAATCTGCATTACCATTTTAAAATAATATTTACAAAATTCACAATAAATCAACATTAAATAAATACACTGGGTGTGTGGGATTAATCACCATAAAGTGTTAAATGTGTATACTTGCGAGTAATAATTTCTCAACACCTTGAGTGATTAAAATGAAACACTAACACAGTGTTTGTATAATAAACACTTTTGTCAGTGTTGTTTTAACACTAGCAAAGATGGACCTGTATGTTCACCCGAAAAGTGATAATTTTAACACCCATGGTGACAAATCTCCCAACATATTTTTGCTGTGCATAACAAAGACATCTCAAACAATGTCATATTAAAAATGACATAACTGAGCGAATGACACTTAATGACAGTTGTCATAAACATGCATAAAAAACCTTAATATTCATGACAGGTGTCATGTCATGATTATGTAGGTGTCATGTCATGATTATGTAGGTGTCATGTCATGATTATGTAGGTGTCATGTCATGATTATGTAGGTGTCATGTCATGATTATGTAGGTGTCATGTCATGATTATGTAGGTGTCATGTCATGATTATGTAGGTGTCATGTCATGATTATGTAGGTGTCATGTCATGATTATGTAGGTGTCATGTCATGATTATGTAGGTGTCATGTCATGATTATGTAGGTGTCATGTCATGATTATGTAGGTGTCATGTCATGATTATGAAGGCGTCATGTCAGTCTTATGCACACCCCTTCAAGTAAAGTGTAACCAAAGCGTCTGCTAAATGTAAATGTAGGACCAAAACAACTGTTATTTATATAATTGTTATTATAATTATTATTTATACTTTCAGTTTTACAAGCATTGACAAAAAAATTAATGTTTCATGTCAAAATACTCCCAATACAAAAACTAAATATCATTTATTGTAGCCTAACTTTCATCCATACAGTAAGCCTAGCCTATGTGTTTGTCGAAAGGTAACCGTAAGTGTGTAAACACATGTTATGATGAATGTTTGTTTACACTGAGGTTTGCATGTTGTTTGCACTCCAACAAATTCAGATATTATACACGCTTCTCAAATTCAGATGCAATAAGTGTTTTGCATGTTAGTTAAACTTTAGCTGTCCAAATACACCTAACAGTCACGTATCCTTACAGTATTTAAATTCTTAAACACCCTATTCAATGAACTGTGCTCAATATGGCTATTCTCAGGGAATATCTGTAGGAATAACAGGGAAATCAACCAAATCAGACTAAATCTTAGAAGACACCGGGAAACACACAGACGCTTGTGGTAAGGCAGTTTTCATATTAGTGAATTTAGTCATTTCCCTTGTGTCGAAACAACTAGGCCTATCTATTTTAAACAAATATACTGTAAGAATTTGGACACTTAAGCCACACTTTTAAAAGATCTGAATGAAATACATATAAAACTTGTAAAAAAAAAATACTTAGAAAAACGTGTACTGATCACACACAGGATGCTGCATTAAAAAGCAAATAATAAAATAAAATAACTGAATAAAAATATTATAAAATAATAATAAAATACAATAAACCAAAAATATTTAATAAACCAAGCCACTTGGTTTTGTTATCTAATACAATGCCTTTTAAGACAAGTGTGACTTTCAAGTTCAAATATATTTTCAGGGCATTCTGGCTGTTAATTAATTAGTGTTACTTTTTTAGAAAACAAGAACAAATGGGTACTGATCATCATCACACACAGGATGTTGCATTGAAAAAGTAAAATAAATTTAAATTTTTGCTTTTATCCAAAGTGACACAGTGCATTGAGGCTATACATTTTTTTACCAGTATGTGTGTTCCCTGGGTATAGAACCCACAACCTTTGCGCTGCTAACACAATGCTCTACCACTGAGCCACATGCTTGTTTTGCAATACAATGCCTTTTAAGACAATTGTAAGTGTGCATTTCATATTCAGCTATTTACTGATTATGCATAGGATGTTGCATTGAAAAAATACATTATAAGATTAAATTAAAATAATTGGTTTTGTTATCTAATGACTTTCATGTTTAAATAGATTTGTAGGGCTGTTCATTAGTGTTCAAAGAAAATTGCATTGAAAAATATAAATAAATTTTATTAGATAAAACTAAATAGCATCGTTTTTTTTTTAATGTATTTATTATTATTTTATCTTATATGTTTTACTTTTTCAGTGCAACTTCCTGTGCATGCAAGTCATGGTTTCAGACATTTTTTCAGACTTACATTGACTTCAAAATACATTTGTAAACCACTATAGCTGTTTATTAGTGTTGGCTAAATCGATTATGGGTGCGGCCATTTGTAAATTTTATGGGTCTTGCTTCAGGTCTCATTGCCTCCCAGCTATTTTTAGCTGTACAAAAGCACTTTTTTTGCTGCTTGATATTGCATATTGGTATTATCTTAATTCTGAACACACTGGTTTGTAATGCAAACAGTTTTTCCATTTACTGCATGTTGTTATTTCCTGATAGCGGCTAATTAACCGGAAGTCTCGCCCACAGACTCTTAAAAAGGTGCTTCACGATGCCATAAAATAACCTTTTTGTCTAAATGGTTCCATAAAGAACCTTTAACATCTGAAGAACCTTTCTGTTTCCCAAAAGGTTCTTTGTGGCGAAAGAAGGTTCTTCAGATTATAAAAAGGTAAGAAAGAGATGATTCTTTGTGGAACCAAAAATGGTTCTTCTATGGCATCTCTGTGAAGAACCTTTTAAGCACCTTTGGCTTACTTTGTTGGATAAATCTCATTTTGATGTTTTTCAGAGTCCATTCCCATGCAAAATGATAAACCACTGGGTGATTTTAGCCGTCTACATCCTGACATTTCTGATCGGCCTTCCTGCCAATCTGCTGGCCATTTGCACGTTCTTTAAGAAACTGGGTGACAAACCCAGTCCGAATGACATCCTGCTCTTCAACCTGACAGCTTCTGACTTGGTCTTCCTTCTCTTTCTGCCCTTCAAGATGTACGAAGCCGCCGTTGGCATGAAATGGTATTTATCCCAGACCCTGTGCTCCATTGCCTCTTATGTCTTTTTCACCACCATTTACACCAGCTCCCTGTTGCTCATGGCTATAGCCATTGACCGCTACATAGGGCTGGGGTTTCCGTTCAAGTACAGACTATTGCGTAAGCCACTTTACGCAACAGCAGGAAGCGTCATCATCTGGCTGGTCAGCGCTGCCCATTGCAGCATCGTATTCATCACTGTCCACATGCCAGATCTGAACGCCACCCTTCCCAAAACGGTCTGCTATGAAAACTTCACAGAGAAGCAAAAGAAGATCTTGCTACCATTTCGACTCGAAATGTTTATGGTTCTATACATACTGCCGCTCTTAGTTTGTATCTTCTGCTATATCAACTGCATCTACATCCTGTACAGCAGGCCTCATATAAGTAAAGAGAAAAAGCAAAGGGCCATTGGCATGGCGTTGTGCACGCTCACCATCTTTTTACTCTGTTTTTTACCCTACAACTCGTCCCATCTGGTGGGTTTCAGCAGCTACAACAGCCCGTCGTGGAGGTACTACACGCTCCTGCCCACCACCCTCAACACCTGTCTGGATCCGTTTGTGTTTTACTTCTCCTCCTCCACTTTCCGTGAAAGCAAAACTGTTTCTTTACTTAAGAGGTGGTGTTTTAGACATAAGAAGACCAAAAAGAGTGCAACTGAACTTGGGATTGTGGCAAAATGAACATGACTTCATGCAAATTGCAAGATCTTTGTATTAATTTAATAACTTTAAATATTCATTCATTATTTAAGGATTGATACATTTATTATAGTTATTTTCTACAGTTTGGGGTTGTTAAGAATTTTAAATCTCTTTATGTCTCTTATGCTCGCCAAGGCTGTATACAGTAAAAATCTGAAATATTATTGCAATTTAAATCAACTGTTTTCTATTTCAATATAATTTGAAATGTAATTTATTTCTGTGACGCAAAGCTGAATTTTTTTAGCGTCATTACTCCAGTCTTCAGTGTCGCATGATCCTTCAGAAATCATTCTGATTTGCTGAGTTTCATTAAAATACTCTGAATATTCAACCATTTCCTGTGGTGGTTTTGGAATTTATTTTTATTTTATTTCCACCATCATGGAAAACTTAAATACTAGGGAATTTTAAAATTGTAATTTTTAAGCCGGAAAATGTAATAGAAATGCCAAATTACTTGCCAAAATGTTTTACAAAATTATTCTTAATATTAAACTTTTTTCCTGGTCAGTTTATGGATATTATTAAAAAATGTGATACATCTTAATAAAGTCGTAGAAATCTCAAATTAAATGCCAAAATGTGAAGAGTTTCACCAAAATATTATAAATATTAAACGTTTTCCTATAGCTAAATTATGGATGTTGTCAATAAAATCTGAATAATATATCAAGGAATTTTAAAATGTATCTACAAAAATATTAAATGATATAAAAAATTAATAAAACAATACTATTAATTAAAAATATATAATAATAATATTAGTAAAGTTTTTTGTATGTTTATTTCTAAATTAACAGTGACATGAAAGTGTTTCATTAAAATATTCTGAATAATTTTTTTTTTTAAATAACTGAGTTTCCACCATCATGAAAACCTAAAAATATCAGGGAATTTTGAAATGTAATTGCCGTTAAAACCTCAATATAGTCATAGAAATGTCAAATTACCAGCCACAATTCTGGCCTTCCTTCACTAATTAATGTCAGTCAATAAATAAACAGAATGACATCGAATGATGAGAATAATCTGAGATTTTATTTGAGATTTTGTCTCTCTGTGCATGAACAGTGATTCAGTTTTATTCAGGATTGTGTGATTTATTTTTAATCTTAAATGTGCATCTGTTGGGATAGAGACTAAAGAAATCCTGAGGGAAAACCTGCAGAATCAGAACGTGGCGTATTTTATCTTTCTGCCAACTTGCACTGGTACTTTTTTAAGTGGGATCAGATTACCAAACACCTGTATATACTGTACATGTTTAGACACTTGAGTGTTTGCTTGAGTTTCTCGAAAACGTTCCTCTTGCGTTTTAGCGAGGGCCGGCCACTCTGCGGCATTCATGCATCCTGTAGGCACACATGTAAAATATACCTGCAAAAACAAAACACACGTTCCATGAGATGAACAAGACTTGCTGGAGATCAAACAAAAAAAAATCCACCTGTACTGACCTGCAAAAAAGGTAATGAGCAGAGCGACCCAGCCCAGAATGTAGGACCATGAGAAACGCCAGTCGCCGAAACGCTTCCCGAGGAAGTTGACCGTCACTCCGGTGTAGATGGCCATAGCGAGCAAAACAAAGAGCGCTAGAGGAGACAAAAATGAAAAGTTCAGACGACTTCTTGTGTTCATTATCTACCTGTATAAGCAAAAGATGCAAAGAAAAGACTTACTGGAGATAAAAAACATGATCCCCGCAGTGAAGGAACGGTTGAATCGCTCAAAGGCGGAGAAGTGAGCGAAGGAGAGGATCCCTGTGATGATTCCCGCAAAACACGACATCGCTGAGAGGATCATGAAGGCCCGGGTCGCGTTCCAGTAAGCTGCAATTAAAGGCAAAGAGAGAAACAAAGAGACACATGGACAGTTTCGCTCAGACTGATGGAGAAACATGTAAGGACCTTTTTAACAATGATTTGCACTGAACTTCGCAAATTTGGGGAAACTGCAGGCTTTATCTTTGGAAGGAGGAAATAGGGCCCGAGCACCACAGTGCGAGGACCCTATTGGAATTGCTCAGTTTTTTCTTCTCCAAAATGAATCTCATTTTTGAGGGCCTAAACATGCTTGAAAAATGTATGAAACTTTGCACACGCGTCAGAAGTGGCGAAAATTTACATCTGATATGGGTTTCAGAAGTGGGTGTGGCAAAATGGCTCAATAGCGCCACCTATAAAATTTCAACGAAGTGCCTCTTGAGCTATGTTTCTGATACATGCATGAAATTTGGTGGACACATGTAACACACCAATACCTACAAAAAAGTCTCCCGGTATGATGTCCGAAAACCAACAGAAAGTCTGTTATTTTTAATTTTCTCGGCAAGTTTTGTGCCATTTTTGCCATTTTCAGGCATTGTATTTAAATGAACTCATCCTAGAGATTTAAACCAATCAACACTAAATTTGGTCAGTGTAATCTAAAGCCCTTTGTGATATTAAATTGCGCAGATCTAGAGTTTTCGTTGAAGGGTGTGTCTGTGCCGGCGTGACAAATTCGATTTGTTTGACAAGACTCCTGTCCTGAAGAGATCTATAAGCCCATATTCAGTCAGTCAAAGCGCCACCTGCTGGCAACAGGAAGCGACATGCTTTACGCTGTAACGAACTCCTCCGAGAGATTTAATGACATCAACATTATATTTGGTCAGTCTAATCTAAAGGCCTTTGCGATGTTAAATGGTGAAGATCTTGAGTTTTCATTGAATGGCGTGTCTGTGCCGGCGTGACAAATTCGATGTTTCGGCAACTCTGCCCCAAACTTCACACGTTTCATAGGAGTGCTGTCCTGAACACTAGATATCTAGAGGCTAGGGCTGCACGATAAATCGCATGTGATTATCATGCGCATCTCGTCAGTAAAGCCAGTTCTGTGATTAGTAGTAAATCTCCCTTCACCTGCTTTCAGATGGAGTGGCATTTAATACACAGAGCCGTAGTTCGCTGACAAGATACGCAATATCGCGTTCATCAGATATGAATCGTATTCGATTATGAACACGATATTGCGCAGCTTGTCAACGAACTATGGCTGTGTGTATTAAATGCCGCTCCATCTGAACGCACGTGATGGAGATTTACTACTAATCACAGAACCGGCTTTACTGATGAGATGTGCATGATAATCACATGCAATTTATCGTGCAGACCTACTAGAGGCCAAAATTCAGTTATATTCATAGCACCACCTGCTGGCAACAGAAAATGACTTGTTTTACACTAACTTAAACATGCAATGTCCGATCTGCCCCAAATTTCACACATTTGATAAGACTCCAGGCCTGAAGACATCTAAACACCAATCTTCAGTTATAATCATAGCGCCACCTGTTGGCAACAGGATACATCATGCTTTCAACTAACTCAAACATACCATGTTTAATCTGCACCAGACTTCACATGTTTGAAAAAAGTTCTGGCCTGAAGACATTTACATGCCAATATTAATTTATAGTCATAGCGCCACCAGCTGGCAGCAGGAAGTTTTTTTTCCCCTTTGTATAGTCCAATTTTTAAAGGTCTTTTATTTTTACATTAAGAAAAATTATAGTAAACATATTAAAATAACAATAATAATAATATGTTTCTATTAAGAAAAGAACAAATTTTGTTTGTTTATTTGAAAAAAAAAATGGCAAGCAAAAAATGCTGACAGATTCATTAAAATATTTTGAATATTCAACTTTTTACTAGGTGCATTTTGTATTTTTCTTTTTTTTTTTTAAATAACCAAGTTACCATCATGGAAAACCTAGAAATATCAGGGAATTGTAAAATTGTAATTTTCAGGCCAATATATATATATATATAAACATATACTGGATTTTTATTTTTTTTGCTCAGAAACGGCAAGTAACACATGGAATTAAACATGACATTTTAAAGCAGAAAAACTTGTAAAATGTACTCCAATAATCTTTGTTTTATTTAAAACTTCGAAAAATCATTTTTCACAGTTTATGTGCATGAATTTGGGGCGAGACTAAATGTTTTTTCTGACTAATGAGAGAGCGTGTGTGTTTGGGAAACATGTTTGAACACGGTCAGTGAAGTAAATAATGTCTGGCACTCACCGATGCTGTCGGTCTGCATGTAGCATTTGCCAGACATGCAGTATCTCCACAGGCCCTGGTGAGTGAAGCTGCCAGACAGTCTGTATTGCATCCAGTAGTCCGTCGCCGTGGAGACCACCAGCAGGATGTTGCCCACGATGGCACAGAATAAGCCCCCTTCCCATAAAGCTGTACATCCTGAGGAACTAAACGCACACATTACAGTCAATTACACACACAGAGATGCTCCATCATGCACAATATACACAGGTCAAGAACATACCCTTCACTCTTAAAAACAGAGGTTCCAAAAGAACCATTTTTGTCTCCCCAAAGAATCTTTCAATGAATCGTTCTTAAAATCTTTTTTTTTCTTAGTGTGAAGAAAATTGTAATAATTTAAAGAACCTTTTTCCACTTTTGTGCAGTGGAAAGTTTCAGTGGATGTTAAAGGTGCTGTATGTAACATTTTTTGGACTGTACTAAAGCATAAATATACCATAATATGTTTAATATAATGTTTTCAGACATTTAGGAAACACGTTTACAAGTTTACATACTTGTTTCTCCAAAAAACAATGCTACAGCCTTTTTTCTACTGTGAAATGTATGGAAACCCATTTCCGCCACTGAAAAAAAAAATAACAAAAGGTAATTGTTTTTTTCCTCACAATTCTGACTTTTTTTCTTGCAATTGTGAGTTTATATCTCACAATTCTGACTTTTCTCAGAATTGTGAGAAAATTGTGCAATTGCGAGTTATAAAGTACAATTCTGACTGATATGTTCTCAATATTGTGAGTTTATATCTCACATATAAACTCGCAATTCTGAAAAGAAAGTCACAACTGCAAGATAAAAACTCGGAATTGCAAGAAAAAAATAATAATTTTCGCCTTATTTCTCAGAATTGCAACTTTATTTATAACACACAATTGCGAGTCAGAAAAGAAGTCAGAACTCCGAGATAAAAAGTCGCAATTACTTTTAAAAATTTTTATTCAGTGGCGGAAATGCACTTCCATAGTAAAGTGTGTTCTGTGTCGCTATGTCTATTTTTGTTTTGGTCTGTGTGACTCCGCCCACTGCCAGTTTAACCAGTAGGATTTTGACGGGTTGCCAGTTGGCGGAAAACACACCGTATTGCAGCCATGGAAGCCAGCAAATCATCTGGGTCAGATATCACAGATTCAACCCAACCTAAAAAGCATCAGCATCCATCTACAAAACTCGATGACCAGAGGAATATAAACACCGATATATCAACCCAACAACAAAGTTAAAGGCTCGTCGCCTGCTGTTGTCAATCGTTCCTGTTGATTGTCCTCAATCTGGCAACCTGCGTGAGCGTGTAGTCTGGGAAGGAGGGAGCGGGAGAAACAACCATCTCCAATATTTTGTTTTTTTAACCTAAATATGCTTAATTGTCACAATGCCAAAATATGAAAAAAATTATAAAATAGCCTGCGTTTTCTTAATGTAAAACAGTTCATTTATTTTCTTTGTATAGTTTGTAAGATTAAAGTCTGACAACATGCTTCCGACTTACATTAGTAGAATGTTCAGTATTTCAAATGTAACTGATGACATCATCAAAATATTTCTATAGTGAATTGTAATTGTAGCCTAGAATCAATGTCAATTCAATAACTGGCCTTGTATTCCATACATAGGCCTATATTTAGCTCAAACAGCAGTATGGTGTTAGCAACATAAAGGTCATGGGTTCGATTCGCAGGGAATGCATGAACTAATACAAATGAGTATGCAGAATCCAATAAGTTGCTTTGGATAAAAGCATTTGTCGAATGCATACATCTGATTTTAAGTATTATATGTTGTGCACAGCTGTCATATCAACAGCTCCGATTCATTTACACAGAAGCTAAGAAATAGGCTATTTTACATTCTTTTACTATTTTGCATTTCCTTTATGAAAAGCAAATGTAGTGTGCATTGATCACTCGGAAGTTTTATTCCTCACAAAGCCAGATTGACATCACGGTTGTACATGCATTTGCAATTTCCTATGTTTTCACAGTCCACACACACCACAGTTTACACAAGCAAAACAGCATCAGCTACTCGTACATCGGAACATGTGACATCATTAGGCTACTTCACAGGAAGGACTAAACACCATTAAGCAAGTAGTTAGAAACACAACGCCAAACTGCAATGCCACAAAACAATATGTAACATGTAGCAATAGAGCTGGACAACAAACTCATTCATGCAAAACAGCATGGGACAACAAACAGTGTGTCCAGTGTGTACCAAAACTACAGTAACACCTGGAAAAATGACCAGCTATCATTAGGATCTCTACATAAGAGCCTGAATGCAGATGCTTCAAACTATACAAGCTTCATTTTATGCATGGTTGCTTTTGAAAAGTGCAATTCATAATGTGACACAAGTATGTTGCATTCTCAGTATTGCCACAGAGGGCGCTCTAGCATAAACAGTTAGATTGGCTAAATATGTGAAAACTCTGTATATAAAATGTTGAATAATATTTTTAAGATATAAACTACACATAGCCTATGCATGCTGTGATTATGACTCATGCTTAAATATCCTGCAGATTAAATCGGTGTAAACACCCATTCTAATCTTCTGCAGACCTTGTTCAATGTGTGCATTTCAACATAATACTCTACATGAAGCTTCTGCATGATTGCACGACATTGCCTGGGACATTGTGTTTCATATGCGAATAAATGCAGTTTATATTTAAAAAACCAATGAGTGTATGCATGTGTGTGTGAAATGAAATCAACTTCTCCTTTCATTAAAGCAGAATGATGAATAACTAAACAAACAAATAAAATAAGTAAATGCTAAAATTACAAAAAAAATAAAAAATTAAATTCCTCATAATATAATCTGTAATGAAACATTGTGTTTCATATGCGAATAAATGCAGTTTATATTTAAAAAACCAATGAGTGTATGCATGTGTGTGTGAAATGAAATCAACTTCTCCTTTCATTAAAGCAGAATGATGAATAACTAAACAAACAAATAAAATAAGTAAATGCTAAAATTACAAAAAAAAAATAATTTAAATTCCTCATAATATAATCTGTAATGAACGTTTTTGCATTTAATTCTAAAGGAATTTTCATTAAAAGTGAATTTTTCACTCCTCACAACACATTGAAGGTTTTAATAAAGTAAAAATAAAAAAATGCATTTTTAAAGATGATTACATACTTTCATCCAAGTTCCAAGAGTTCTATTTATTTATTTACATGATAATATAGTTTGTAATTAAATATTTTGCCTTTAATTATAAAATAATTTTCACTAAACGTGAAACTTCCAGTATACATGAAGACTATAACATTTTTTTTATTAAAGTAGAAATAAAAATTTTTTTTTTTAAAGATTACATTTTTAGTTTTGATAGTTCAATTCAAATTTTTCAGTTTATATGTCTGATAATATACAGTCATTTGTAATGAAGGATTTTGTTTTTACTAAAAGTGAGACTTTTGTTCACTACTATACACAATGACTTAAAAAAAAATTAAGATGATTACATCCTTTCATCCATCAAGTTTCAAGAGTTTACATATGGTTTGTCAGTTTGAAGGGCCTCCTCACTAGAAACGGCAACAAACGATCACATTTATCCTGAAAACCATCACAAGTGTGAATTAGTCAGTGACTGAGATGTCCGAGGGATCCTTACCTGAGGTCTTCAGGATAAATGAACCTGCTTAAGTATTGACCTTCCCAGAGGGAAACAGAGAGAAAGTGGGACCCGCAGCGAGCGTAACGTCAAAAGGACGAATTTACAGGCCGAATTCCAAAAAGTTATCCTCTCTGCTTTTCTGTCGATGGAGGCAAAATCCTTTAAAACAGACCACACAGAACAAATGCACTTGAGCTTGATGCTGTGGGAGGCACGTGACCGTTGCACGCTGGCCGGGTCCGCGCTCGGGGTTTGGAGGGGGAAGGCTCTTTTTGTTGTTGTACTGGCTGTTCTGGAACTGTGATGTGCAGAGGCTTGCAGTACTGCTGCGGTCAATGCAACATGCTGAAGCGCACACTTTCATTCAGCCGTGCATGTGGTGACACACCATGAGTGGACACATGATGGTGTCGCTTATGCACATTTTCACTCCCATCACATGTCCATGACTCTCTTTTGACAGTGCCGCAATGACTTTGATGTGATAGATGGAAATGGCTTATTAGTAAATGTTTTTATGCATGAGAAAATACTAATGTGGCTACAGTGCAGTAATAAAAAAAAGTAATGCAAGATCAGAAATCTTCTCGGATAATATACCACACTGTGAAAAAGATTTTTCTAAGTTGTAAATAAAACAAAGATTAGAGGGTGTATTTCAAGAAAATTCTATTTCAGTCTCTCTACTGCAAAATTTCATGTATAATTCAATGTTAATTGATGCTTCTTTGTTATTATTTGTGAAATCTACCAGCAATTTCTGAATTAAGAAGTGTTTCTGTTTTTCAGTGCATCATATTATTTTTGTCTGATCATTCTGAAGTTTGTATGGAAGAAAAGTTTAAAATTAAGTTCAGAAAAAAATGAAATGCGGGTTCTTGCTCTTTTAAGTATTAAAAATGTCTCAGATGTTTTATTCCTTAAAAAAAATCCCCTAGAGAAATAACGTCCATAGCATTCATTAAGAGTACAGATCTATAAAATGTACATATTATTTGATTTTTGATAATTTGATAAGAAACGTGATAAGAGTTCATTTTGAGATCTCTGACTTTTTAATCGGAGCAAAGTTTAACATTGCCGAGACTCTGAAACACCAGAGGAGGTTACTGATATTTTTTAGGAAAATGTCATTTTGAAAAGTCATTTATTTGATCAAAAATTCAGTGAAATATTATTACAGTTTCAAATAACAGTTTTCTATTTGAATATATTACGTAATTTATTTCTTTGCTGCAAAGCTGAATTCTCAGCATCATTACTCCAGTCTTCAGTGTCACATGATCCTTCAGAAATCATTCTAATATGCTGATTTGCTGCTCAAGAAACTTTTCTGATTATTATCAATGTTAAAAAAACAGTTGTGTTGCTTCATAGTTTTGTGGAAACTGACACATTTTTTTCAGGATGAATAGAAAGTTCAAAAGAACCGCATTTATTTGAAATAAAAATCTTTTATAACATTATAAAACATTGACCAATTTAATGCATCCT